ACCATCCCTGAATTCCTCCACTATCAACGTCCTGGGGATTACCATGTAAATGCATTGGCTACAACAACACGTCAGGCTAGGAATATTGCAGTGAGTGACTTGCATTCTGACACTCTGGACACTGCACGAGTCACGAGTGTGATGGAAAGCTTCGTACTTGCTCGGATGGGTGCAGCTCCAAATACAAAAACCAGGCCGAGCAGGTGACTGAGGTGTCAGTGGGGAGCACTTAGGGGCAAGTGTCCATAATTCTATTCATTTTAAAATAACAACAGAAAAGGATAGACTGGATCTAAAGTTAAGTTTCTAAATTGGAGGAAGGCCAATTTTGATGCTATTAGGCAAGAACTTTGAAAAATTGATTGGGAGCGGATGTTTGCAGGTAAAGGGATGGCTGGAAAATAGAAGCCTTCAAAAAATGAGATCAGGAGTCCAGAGATGTTGTTACTATTAGAGTGAAGGGCAAGGCTGGTAGGTGTGGGGAATGCTGGATGACTAGAGAAATTGAGGTTTTGGTTGAGAATAAGAAGGAAGTATATGTAAGGTGTAAACAGAGATCGAGTAAGTCCCTGGAAGAGTGTAAAGGCAGTAGCAGTACACTGAGGGAAATCAGGAAGGCAAAAAGGGGACATAGCTTTGGTAAATAAGGTTAAGGAAAATCCAGAGGGATTCTAAAAATACATTAAGGACAAAAGGGTAACAACAGACAGAAAAGTGCCCCTTAAAGATCAACAAGACCACCTCTGTGTAATACCGCAGTAGATGGGGGCGATACTAAATAATCAGTATTTTGCATCAGTGTTTACTGTGGAGAAGGATATGGAAGATCGAGAACGTGGGAAAATAAATAGTGACATCTTGAAAAATCTCCATGTATCGGAGGAGGTGGTGCTGGACTTGTTAATGTGCATAAAGGTGGATAAACCCCAGGGAGCTGATCAGGTGTAGCCCAGAACACTCTGTGAAGTGAGGGAATTGATTGCTGGGCCCCGTGCTGAGATATTTGCATCATCGTTAGCCACAGGTGAGGTGCTCGAAGGTTGGCTAAGGTGGTGCCACTACTTAAGAAAGGAAAAGCCAGGGAACTCTAGATTGCTGAGCCTGACATTGGTTGTGGGCAAGTTGATAGAATCCATAGAATCCCTACAGTGTAGAAACAGGCCCTTCAGCCCAACAAGTCCACACCGATCCTCGGAGCATCCCACCCAGACCCATTCCCCAAACCCACCTAATCTACACATACCTGAATGCTTTGGGCAATTTAGCATGGCCAATCCACCTAGCCTGCACATCTTTGGACTGTGGGAGGAAACCAGAGCACCCAGAGGAAACCCACGCAGACACGAGGAGAACATGGAAACTCCACACAAACAGTTGTCTGAGGGGGAATTGAACCTGGGCCCTTGGTGTTCTGAGGCAGCAGTGCTAACCACTGAGCCACCATGCTGCAGTTCTTGGAGGGAATCCTGGGGGACAGGATTTACCAATATTTAGGAAGGCAAGGACTGATTAGGGATAGTCAGCATGGCTTTGTGCGTGGACAGTCTTGTGTCTCTAACTTGATTGAGTTTTTTGAAGAAGTAACAGAGGATTGATGAAGGCAGAGCGGTGACCGTGATTTATATGGACTCCAGGAAGGCATTCGACAAGGTTCCTCTTGGTAGATTGGTTAGCAAGGTTAGACTGCGTTGGAATATGGGGAGAACTAGCCATGTGGATACAGAACTGGCTTGAAGGTAGAAGATAGATGGTGGTAGTGGAGGGTTGCTTTTCAGACTGGAGACCTGTGACCAGTGGAGTGTCACAGGATTGACGCTGGGTCCACTGCTTTTTGTCATTTATATAAGTATTTGGATGTGAACATAAAAAATATTGTTAGTAAGTTTGCAGATGACACTCACATTAGAGGTGCAGAAGGAGGTTACCTCAAAATCCAACAGGATCTTGATCAGATGGGCCAGTGGGCTGAGGAGTGGTATATGGAGTTTAATTTAGATAAATGAAGTGCTGCGTTTTGGAAAGGCAAATCAGAGCAGGACTTATACACTGAATGGCAAGGTTCTGGGGAGTGTTGCTGAACAGCGACCTTGGAGTGCAGGTTCATACTTCCTTGAAAGTGGAGTTGCTGGTAGATAGGATGGTGAAGAAGGCATTTGGTATGCTTGCCTTTATTGGTCAGTGCATTGAATACAGGAGCTAGGAGGTCATGTTGCAGCTGTACAGAATGTTGGTTCGGCCACTTTTGGAATATTGTGTGCAATTCTGGCCTTGCTGCTATAGGAAGGATGTTGTGAAACTTGAAACAGTTCAGAAAAGATTTACAAGGATGTTGCCAGGGGTTGGAGGGCTTGAGCTATAGGGAGAGTCCAAATAGGCTGGGGCTATTTTCCCTGGAGTGTCGGAGGCTGCGAGTTGACCTAAGAGGTTTATAAAATTATGTGGGCCATGGATAGGGTGAGTAGCCAAACTATCTTTCCCCAGGTGGGGGAGTCCAAAACTAGAGGATATAGGTTTAAGGTGAGAAGAAAAAGATTTTAAAGGGGACCTAAGGAGCAACATTTTCATGCTCAGGGTGGTGTGTGTATGGAATGAGCTGCTAGAGGAAGTGGTGGAGTCTGGTATAATAACATTCAAAATGCATCTGTATGGGTATATGAATGAGAATGGTAAATGGGACTAGATTAACTTAAGATATCTGGTTGGCATGTATGAGTTGGACCGAAGGGTCTGTTTCCATGCTGTGCAACTGTATGATGACCATCCAGGACAGTGCAGACTGCTTATTCGCACTGCGTCCACTCCCCCCTCCACTGATGCTCAGTTGTAGCAGTGTCTATTGTCTGCAAGATGCCCTGCAGAAATTCATCCGAGATCCTTAGACAGCACCTTGCAAATCCCTGACCACTTCCTTCCATAAGGACAAGGGCAGCAAATACATGGGAACACCACCAGCTGCAATTTCCCCTCCAAGCCATTCATCATCCTGACTTGGAAATATATTGCTGTTCCTTCACTGTTGTTAGGTTGAAATCCTGGAATCCTCTGCCTAACAGCATTGTGGGTCCTGTCTGCACCACAGTTCAATAAAGCAGCTCAGCACTGTATTAAGGACAATTAGGTACAGGCAGGAAATGCTGACCAGCTAGCATTGCATTTGCTCCTCAAGTGAATTCAAAAAATGTCCAAATTAGTAACGAGTTTTAAATTAATTCCAATCCAGGTTCGTGGACTATTGTGAAATATTGGTAAATTGTGTTCTGACAAACATTTCAGATGATTTGAGTATTGGCCGTGGTTCACTGTTAAGTGTTGGCTTTGAATTTTAGTGAACCAGATGGGTTTTTATGACAATTGGCAATGGATTCACGGTGATCATTAGATTCTTAATTCCAGATATTTTTATTGAATTCAAAATCCACCATTGAACCTGGGTCCCCAGTACGTTATCTGGCTCTCTGGATTAAAAGTCCAGTGAGAATACAACTGGGCCATGGCCTCCCCTAATTGGGTTGTGAGTTTCAGATGCAGGAGAAATGTGAGCTGACTGTAAAGCATTGCTTTGGGAGTCTTTTTGATATTGATGTTTGTAACAGAATCACCAGCAATGACTTATAATAATGCCCCATAGGTGTGTAATGAAACAAAATTAACACTCTACTCAAAGAAAGTAGGCGACCAAATGTTAGGCCCGATGCAGGAGCATTGTAAAGCAGAAGGAGAGGGGAAAAATAGTTTGGTGGGTAATTCTGAGCACCTGGGGCCAAGACCTCTGGCAACCAGTCACGGAGTGAAGAAAATCTGGAGTTGGAACAGTGCGGGGTTCTCAGGGTTGTGGAGCTGTTGGGGGTGACCGGTAAGGAGGTGCAACGCCAGGAGGATTTTGAACCATAGAATGAGAGTTTAAATTACAAGTGTTGATGGATAGGTAGCCAGATTAGGTGAGCAAGCATCAGAATGATGAGTGAACAGGACTTGTTGTGACATAGGGCAACAATATTAGATGAATACAGTGTTATGGAGGCTGGAATAGAGCGGACAAATAGGAGCCGCAACATAAAATGGTGGCTCAGTAATTAGTACTGCTACCTCAGCGCTAGGGACCCAGATTCATTTTGATCCTTGGACAACTGTCTGTGCGGAGTTTGCATACTCTCCCATGTCTGCCTGGGTTTCCTCTGGATGCTCCGGTTTCCTTCCACAGTCCAAAGATGTGTGGGTTTGGGTGAATTGGCTATGCTAAATTGCCCATAGTGTCCAGGGATATGCAGGCTAGGTGCATTAACCATGGGGAATGCAGGGTGATAGGTCAGTGGCTGGATCTGTGTGGGATGCTCTTCAGAGGGCTGAACGGCCTCCTGACTCACTGTAGGGATTCTATGAAAAAGATGAATAAGGATGTCAGTACCAATTGCACAGAGCCAGAAACAGGTGAAATGGAGGAGATGGTGAAGTGACTTAGAGGATGTCATGGTATTATTCAGATTTCCATGATCCCCTCGCCAGTTGTGGACCTCAATCAAAATTACTGAGTCAGATAATCATTCTACCTATGCGCTGTTCCTGTGTGTATATGTTCCCCAAAACACCAAGGTACTTTGGCTTTGAAATACTTTGGAATGTTCTGATCTGCTGAAAGGTACTCATTATTGCAATTTACTTCCTTTCTTCTGTCAATCATGAACATACAGGAAATTTAAACATAAGATGGAAGTAATATTGTCACAATTGCGTATGCAGCTTCAAAACTTGTAATCAAAAGTGCTTCAGTTTTCATTTTACCAGGAGTTCATCTGTTGAGAAACAGCCCTGTTTTCAGGTAGTTTACTAATTCTATTTTGGTTATTTGCTGTCAACATACATTGTGTCCATATATATCCTCTGACTCTCAAATACGCACATTTCTTTTTAAAATGTAATGATGCATGTTTAGCATTGGATAGCAAGTATGTGGATAATCTGTTTTGCTAACTTGCTTTTTTGAACTGGATTTGTTTGTTTAGGAGTGGATATAGAAGCTGCGCGGAAAGAAGAAGAACGAATAATGCTTCGCGATGCCAGGCAATGGTTAAATAGCGGGCAAATAAATGATAATCGGCATCCCAAATCTGGGGGAACAGCTCTTCATGTAGCTGCAGCTAAAGGCTATTCAGAGGTTTTAAAGTAGGTATCTAAAACTACTCCAATACTTAGTATTTGCAAGTAAATAAAGGATTGTTATGAGCAAATTGTTTCCTTTTTCTGTTGCATGATGCACCAACTTAACTTGGGTTTCAAAATAGTAATTATTGTACTAAAAATGGCTGGTTGTTTTTTTTATATACTTCATAGCCCATAGATATTTAGATGTGGGGCATTTCATGATGCTAGCAAGCTGTAAGCAGGTGCATGCTATTTGGTTATGCATTGTTTCATTGGTTTAGTAAGCAACATTAAAGACTCAATGCAATTAAGTTATTGCGAAATGATCATAAATGATCTCAAAACAAATTGAAGATAGTTAGAAAATGCATCCACATGGAGTTAGGTGACTGTGAGCCTAGTTATGAGGTTGCTGTATTCTATTCATATACTGCCGTTGTGTTGGCCCCTCTCTTTTGGCTTAGCAGAAGACAGAAATTAATGATACATTAAAGCTGAATCAAATGTTATTTGTCTTAATTTAACTTTGTAAAATGTCCACAAGTTCCAAAAAGCAGCTATAATTCGTTGAGATGACATTTTTAAGGGGTTTCTCTTGTTTTAGTCTTGACATTTTTAAATTGGTACTTTCTTTAAAATCCACAGGCTTCTAATCCAGGCAGGCTATGATGTAAATATCAAAGATTATGATGGCTGGACCCCACTACATGCTGCAGCACACTGGGGAAAAGAGGAAACCTGCCGAATCCTGGTAGAAAGCTTCTGCGATATGGAGATGATCAACAAAGTGGTTTGTTGCCTATTACATGTTTTTGATTTTGGTAACTACTGTCTTTTTGTTTAGTTACAAAAACGCAGAGAAGCAGATCGTTAGAAGATTGCATGATCAGACTATTTTGTTTGAAGTAACAATTTCTTTCTTTTACTCGTGGGACGTAGGCATCGCTAGCTGGCCAGTGGGTGAGAGGAGAATGATTGATTTTACAGGGACCTGAGGGGCAGCCTTCTCAGACAAAGGGTGTTTTGTATGTGAAATGAATTGCCAAAGGAAGTGGTATTGTTTAATTGTGCCAAGAAGTCAGTACTGCATCACCTCGGAGGGTGAGTTGAAAAAAAGGAGCCAACTATTGTGCCATTTGGAGCAGAATGTCTGTCTTTAGCTGAATAATTGCCTTCTGCATATTTAAGTTTAGCTTTTAAATAGCAGCATAAGAATCACAAAGGATCTTTAGATTATTGGAAAACATAAAGAAGAATAAAAACTTGCATTTCTTTCGTCACTTTCATGAGTTCAGTTTGTCTCCAAATATTTTACAGTACTTTTGTAGTGTTATTCCAACTTGGGAAATATTGCTGCTAATTTGCACTCATGAAACTCCCACGCATGTACAACATAGAACAGTACAGCACAGGAATAGGCCCTTCAGCCCACCATGTCTGTGCTGACCATGATGACATTTCAAACTAATCATATCTGTCTTCATGTGGTCCATATTCCCCTCTTCCTTGCCTTTTCATCTGTCTGTCAAATGCTGTTAAACTTACCTATTGTATCTGCTTCTACCACCTTCCCGGCAGCACGTTCCAGCTACCTACTGCTCTCTGCATTTAAAAAGAAACTTCCCTTGCACATTTCCCTTAATCTTATACCCCTTCACCTTAAGCCTACACCCCCTAGTGTTTGACACCTTCATGCTGGGAGACAAACTCCAAGAATCCACCTTTTCCAAGCTGCTCGTAATTTTATATACTTCTATCAGGTCCCCCTTCAGCCTCTGTAGCTGTAGAGAAAACAATACTCCAAATGTTGCCTAACTAAAGTTTTATGTAGCTGCACCACGACTTGTCAACTTTTATACTCACTTCCCTGACAAATGAATGCAAGCACTTTGTATGCCGCCTTTACCACTTTGCCCACTTCTGTTGCCACTTTCAGGGAGCGATGGCCTTGCATGCCAAGATCCTTCTGTACTCACGGCTGCTGAGGGTTCCATCATTTGCTTTATACTTTAGTCTTGCATTTAACCTCCATCACCTCTCACTTGTCTAGATTAAACTCCAACTGCCATTTCTCTACCGAACTTCCCAACTGGTCAATATCTTGCTGTATCCTTTGCCAACCTTCCTTACTCTCCACAAGTCCTCCAATTTTCATGTCAGCTGCAAACTTATTAATTGACCGACTACATTTTCATTCATACATTAAAATAAATTATAAACAGCAGAGATCCCAGCACTGATCCTTGTGGAGCACGACTGCTTACAGACCTCCAGTCAGAAAAGCATCCCTCCATGACTACTTTCTGTCTCCTATGACCAAGCCAATTTCGTATCCAACTTAGCAACTCGGGTTCCCGTGTGACTTAATCTTTTGGACGAGCCTACAATAACAGACATTAGCAAATGCTTCAGTAAAGTCCATATGGACAACATCCATTACCCTACTCTCATCAATCATTTTCTTCACATTCTTAAAAAAAGAACTTGATCACATCTGTGAGACAAGAACTCTCCCACGCTCCATTCTTCTCCAAATGTGAGTAAATTGTGTCCGTAAGCATCTGCTCCAATAACTTCCCTTCCAGTGATGTAAGGCTCACCAGGATTATCTCTGTTGCCCTCCTTAAACAAAGGAACAAAGTTCGTTATTATTCAGTCTTCTGGGACCTTGTTTGTGGCTAAAAAGGATACAAAGACCTTTTGAGGTTCCAGCAATCTCCTCCTTTGCCTGGATAGATCCCATCAGGTTCTGGGGACATGCCTACCTTAATATGTTTTCATGGCATCCAACACCTTCGAACTTGAGAACAGAAGTAGGCCATTCAGAATAAGATCATGGCTCATCTGTGACGTAACTCCATATACCTTCCTTGGGCCCATATTTCTTGATACCCTTGCGTAGTAAAAATTTGTCCATTTTGGATTTAAATTTAACAATTGAATTAGTGTCAACTGCCATTTGAGGAAGGGAGTTCAAAACCTCTTCTGCTCTTTCTGTGTAAAAGTGCATTTTAACATCTCTTCTGAATGGATTAGCCCTAATTCTCAGATTATGCCCCAGTTCTGGAATATTAAACCAGTGGAAACGGTTTTTCTTTATCTCACCTGTCTTTGCCTGTTAATATCCTGAAGACTTCAATTAGATCACCCCTTAACATTCTAAATTCTGGAGAATAAAGATCTAACTTATCTAATCTTTCCTCCAACTTAACCCCTGAAGTGTACTGATATTATTCTTGAATTGGTGTTATCCTTGTAAACCTAACTAGGATTTTGTATAACTGTACCGTAATGTCTACATCCTTGTACTCGAGCCCTGTAGATACTAAATTGTGGAGCATAAAAGACTGAAAGCAAAAATAAAGTCCATTTCATCTGATCAATCTTTGACATTTTGTATTCTGGGTGTATATGTTACATAAATCTCATGTTAGAGTGAAACTACAGTTGATTCTTATTGTTGGAGCAGTGAAAATTCTGTATTTGTTCTTGCTCAGTTTTACAGTGACATCGCATTTTGAGCATAAGAGGATGGGAACCTGCTTCTGATATGACAAGGGGCTGTGGTGCAAGTGCTATGACAATAAATGTGCCTTTGATATACTTGGACCTGGTTATGACAAAATAGGCTGCATTTGAAATCACTGACATAAAGTTGACCAAGTTCTGTGTGTTGCCCTTTATGTGATATTTTCTTGGTGTGGCTGCAGGTCAGTCGATTACCAAGGGCTGCTGGCATTATGGAAAACAAAATAAGGATTTTTGGGAATAAGGGTGTAGCTTTACGACCTACAATGTAAGAGACACTGACAGCACTTCTCAATGATACAGCACATTCAAAGTAGCAAAATGCTTTGTGGAACTGAAGACGATGGTCAGTCTCCCGTGTACTGGAAGTTTCTTTTGTAGTTTTGGTTATTGGAAAATCAGCACGATCAGAGACGGTGGAGAGGCCCAGAGAGGTTGTGTTGAGGTGGAGGTGACCGCTTGCTGTACACATGGGACCATATGTGTTTGGACAATAGGGAACATACTGATGAAGAATAGAAGCAGGCTAAAGATAGCCTGGTGGCTCCAGAGCGAACAGAGTGTAAATATTTATTTTCAGTAAAGAAGAGCCTGTCTAATTCAGGGTTTTCCCACCCAGTTAAATGAAGAAAGACAGATGGACTGGGAAGGATGCTGGAGTGAACTGCGTTTGAAGGCTGCAGGCCATTTGAGAAGGGTGAGGAGGGATGGTTTCACTTCACAGTTGTAAGGGTTGTGTTTTGTGAAGAGCTGCTTCGATATGTTGGAGGACTGGAAATTTGACTCAATCAAATATTTAATTGTTGATTATGTCAGCGTGAATCTTGAGGTCACTAAGTGTAAAAGGCAATTTGGGCAGGGACATTAGTATGCAGGTATCTATTAAAGTTCTTTATAGAAGATGGATGATGCCAGCAGGTTTGAAATGGACAGCAGTACTTGAGTGTGAACAAAGAAGAACATCAGCTACCATGGTGCCTCATCACTGGCCCTGGTAATTCCCGAGAGAGTAATGTGAAAAGTTTGACATGTTTCCATGACTTCCAAAATACTGTGAAGGACATTTACTATTTTACTGATGGTATCTTTTATTTTCAATTTGGCATGTGAGTTAGTCGAAAGAGTTTTCTTTTCCTGTCGACCTCTTTTGAAATGTGTGAATTTTGTCCATAGGGGCAGACAGCTTTTGATGTAGCTGATGAAGACATTCTGGGGTACTTGGAAGAGTTGCAAAAAAGGCAGAATATGGTAAGTTTTTGGAAGCTATTTCAAATCATCACTTTTTTAATTGATTATCCTTCGTAGTGAAAGACAAGGCACACTGAAGAAATTAACTTCAGTCGTATTTTATCGTGATTATACCATCATGTATGTTTATAAATCTGTCTACAGAGTTAAATGGGTGGAAAGAAACCCTCTGGTCATAACCTGAAGACTGACGTGATGTTCAGTCACTCTTTTCTAATGGAACTCAAGTAGTTAGCATTAAAATTAGAATTTGTGGTCTTGAAGGAATTTCACAACCTTGGAAGGCACATTGTCAACTTGTTTTAGTCTTGTAATTTGGCAATATGTAATGCAATAGTGAATTCTGTTTATTGACAACCACTATTAGGCGCGACTTGATTTCACTGTTTTCAGACAGAAGCTGCTTGTATAGAATTTAAAATTCATATGGGAGCATCTCTGTCTATGCAACTTTTTTAAATAAACTTGTGATTACTGCTGTACTCTGCATGTGAATACATGGTCTGCCTCCAGCATATTCACATTTTGCCATTACTGGTCATACTATTCACAAGCTTTTGCATATGTGAAACTGATGGCGCTCAGTTTTACCACTCTGTCTGCAGCCATTAAAGCCAGTCTGATCTTGAGGTGAGAGTAAAGTGAAGATCTTTCCTCTAATCAAATACAGTCAAAGCCGTCCCTTTTCCGTTCCTTCCTTGATTTACCTTAGGTGCAGACTTCTATCCCTGCTCCCAGTTGTGGTCAGACTGCATCAATTGATTCACCATCATGGCATTCTTACTGACTTGAACATCATTACTGTACCCTAGATATCTGGTTAATCATGAAGACTGCATGGCTTTTTCCCCACTCTTGCTACATGAATTAATCAGGGTACAGATGAGTATTGCTGGCTACTTCAGTTCCAAAAACAGCTGTAGGTAGTTTGATCTGTTGAGTCACAACCTGCATTCCCTCTAATTTTTCTTGCTAGCGTATGGCAGTAACTTCCAGAACAGGAAGTTAATGCAGCCACATGCTAATCAGCTGATTGGTGCCTGCAGGCCATCCAAGTAGATGAAAAGGTTAGAGGGAACATGGATTGCAACAACACAGGTATGTAAAACTTGGTAGCAGGGGTAGGCCTTCTGTTCCTTTAAACCTGCTGCATCATTCAGTAAGATCACGGCTGATTCTACCCCCATAATACCTAACTTGTCTGTTAAAAATCTCTGTCCCAGCCTCCAGTACTTCCTGAGAGAAAAAACTTCATGTAGGAATGACCTTCATACTGAGAAATTTGCTGTGTATTTAAGCTATGTTCCCTACTTTCAGGCTTCTCCATTAATCCAAGCATTGTCCAGATATACACTATCCAATTGCCTCAAGATTTTTTTCGATAAAATGACCTCTCATTTTGTTTCTTATGTGGATATAGACTTGTGCATTGTTTCTTCAGAAGAATTAGCCAAATGATCCTCTTAATTTGTACACTTGCATCTGGGAATTTTTGTCCTGCTCTGTTTAAATTGTATGACAGACTCTCGAGATGGGTCGGTATAACAAAAGCCCTTCACTCTAAGCTTGTTCCTTGAATGTCAAATGTATTAATTTGCTGTTACAGTATATTGAATCTGTTTAAAGACCTTGACAGTGAGTAGCTTCAAACTGTCCTATCCAGTCTCTTCCACCTTTGATCATATAAGTACTTTGGGTGTCTTTTTAAATTCTGTCTTAACATTGTCAGTTTATTTGCATGAATAGAAAATAAATTATCCAAGTTATAGTTTAATAGTCTAATACTGTCTTAAAATTGCATTTTGACTTTTTCTCCCCTTGAAAGCTTTTCCGGGAGAAACAAGCAAATAAATCCCCTTTGATTGAGTCAACTGCAACAATGGAGAACAACCAACAATTAAAACCCATCAAAAGGTAATTAGAAGTGAAATTCAAGATGTATGAATAATAATTTGAGTTCCACCATTTAGGAAATAAAACTTTATTTTGCCTGTGTCTGCTTGTGTATATTGTTGTTAATATTCAAATTGTTAATTGGTGTATGAGAATTTTGATGTTTTCTCAACTTTACTGAAATAATCCTGACAGTAAAGAAACTCTGCTGAATGAACAAAAGGTTCCAGTCCACATAGAGTCTCTTGAGCAGGAAAAAGTGGATGAAGAAGAAGAGGGTAAGAAAGATGATTCAAGTTGTTCCAGTGAAGAGGAGGAGGAAGAAGACTCAGAGTCAGAAGCAGAAGCAGGTAACTTCTAAGGAACTTTGGAGTTGTTTCGAATAAACATGAGCAGAACAATTGGATTATCTGAAAGCCTTCAATTTTATTCACCATATATACTCATAGTATTTGATATTGTGTAAAAGTCAATTCTGACTTTTGGCCAAAAATACTTTGAATTTTCATAGATCTCGTGTATAGGTTGACCCCTATTGCCAAAATACCCAAACTCTTTGTACTTGCCACCCACTTTAACTCAAACTCATCCTGCAGTAAATCGAACACACCATGGAAGTCAGCTGATCAGTTGCTCATGCCTGCTCATGTATGTTTAGCTCCTTGTATGCTGCCTTTGGGATGAGAACAGTCTCTGACCTACAACTCTGTGATAGCAAGTCTTTTGGGGGAGGATGGATTTTAATGTCTCAAATATTAGTCATGTAAACATTTAATCTCAGAAATTTGGCTTTCATGCTGATGTGTCTTATTAAAGCTTGATCATTTTCTGAATGTTGTAGTGAGGGATCTGTAAATGCTGAGATGCAGAATGTTCCTGTTTTATGTGCCCTATTTCAGGATCAGTGACTCACAGGTCACATAAGCATGCCATGTAAAATTCTGCTTGCATCTATCCCTACAGTGTTGATCTCTCAAACCAATACCATTCTTAGGTGATTAATCAGTTTTGTACGACAGGTCCTGGTCACTGAAAAATTGAATTAAGATTGCGAGCATTGTTTATGTGTCGAATCCTTGCAGCCAGCAGACAGAATTCTGATTCCAGTTAGCTGTTGTGTAAAGTCATCGAGACATATGCCAAGGAAACCGACCCTTCAGTCCAACCAGTCCACACCAATAGGTTCCCAAACTAAACTAGTCCGATGTGCCTGTGCCCATTTCCCTCCAAACCTTTCAGATTCATTTCCTTACTCAAACTTTTTTAAACTGTTGGAACTGTACCTACATCCACCAATTTCTCTGGCAGTTCATTCCACACACGCTACTGTGTTTTTAAAAAAATAGCTGCCACTTCAGTCCTTTTTAAATCTTTCTGCTCTTACCTTAAAAAATATGCCCCCTCGTTTTGAACTCCCCCACGTTTGTGAAAGTATCTTTGCTGCTCACCTTATCTTAGAATCCACTTAGACTTAGAATCCCAATGAGTGTGGAAACAGGCCCTTCAGCTCAACAAGTCCACCCGAACTCTCAAAGCATCCCACCCAGACCCATCCCCCTAAACCCACCAAATGTACACATCCCTGAACACTGGGCAATTTAGCATGGCCAATCCACCTAGCCTGCACATCTTTGGACTGTGGGAGGAAACCGAAGCATCTGGAAGAAACCCATGCAAACCGTTACCTGGTGGGGAATCAAGTCCGGGCCCCTGGTGCTGTGAGGCAGCAGTGCTAACCACTGAGCCACCATGCCACCCCTCATAATTTTATAAATCTCTAAGGTCACTCCCCAACCTCCTACACTGCAGTGAAAAAAGTCCCCGCCTTAACCAGCCTGTTTTTATAACTCAACTCCATCATCTTTGGCAACATCCTGGTAAATCTTTTCTGAACCCTGTCCAGTTTAATAGTATCCTTCCTATAGCAGGGCAACCAGAACTGCGCACAGTACTCCAGAAGAGGCCTCTCTAATGACCTGTGAGTTCCAACTCCTATACACCAATGTCTGAGCAATGAAGGCAACCATGCTAAATGCCTTCCTAACTCCCTGTTTACCTGTGGCACAACTTTAGAAGAATTATGTACCTAGTTACGTTTTTGTGCTTAGATCCCAGAGGCAGGTGATTTCCTGATTGACAGCACCAATGCTGCCTCCCAATGCTATGTGCAGGGCCCGTTCTCCATGAAATGTAAATTTGAACTGATTTGCATTGAGTACATTGAACTGGAGCAGCAATTTTAGATCTTTTTATACTAAATATTTCCAGGAATGTGGCACATTTCCAACAAATAGAATACTGTGATTATGTTTGGTGGTTTATAAGTTACTCCTGTTTCTTCAGTTATTGCTCCATTAACAAGTTAAATTTTCTTCCAGAAAAAAACAAACCTACAACACATGTAAATAGTGTAAACCGCATCAACAGTGGAGGTAGTATACAGTCTGCAGCAGTAGCCCCAACAAGTGTACCCACGAATCAAGTTGCGCCAACATCGCCAGTGAAAAAGGTAAGAGAGAACCTATTTAAACCCGAATCATTCAACATGCATGGGCTTTCAGTCACTCGGAGAAAGCAAGAACTACAAATGCTGAAGTCAGAGTCAATACAATGCGGAGCTGGAGGAATTCAACAGGTCAGGCAGCATCAGAAGAGCAGGAATGTCGACTGTTTGGGTTTATACCCTTCATCCAGGGTGTAAAGCCGAAATGTCGACTTCACTGCTCCTCTGATGCTGCCTGACCTGCTGTGTTCCTCCAGCTCCACTCTATATTGACATGCTTGGGCTACTAACCCTGGCAGCAGTGATGGGAATGCTAAGATGGAGGTTTGAATCTCTCTTTTACCTAGTAATTCAAAAAATCTTCAATGGATGGGTTTAATTGTGACCTGGGTTGCTTTCAGGTGGAGCAAATGCAACCTTTCATCTTTGGGTAAGATAAATGCTGTCTAATGTTCATCCCTAAATAGCTTTTGAGAAATATATCTGCCACTGAGTTGTATAATAATTTTGACAGCGTATAGATTGTTTGGTCTTTGTATTCTGTTTTCCTAGTTAAGGAGATTAACCAAGGCCAGTCTGCCCTTTTGAGTTTGCTCCAGCATTCATTATGATCATGCTTGATCGTACAACTCAGTAGCCTGCTCCCGCTTTTCACTGATACAGCTGGATCCCTTTAGCCCAAGGTCTGTGCCAGCTCCTTCTTGAAATCATAATGTTTTGACCTCAACCACTTTCTGCAGTAGTGAATTCCACAGGCTCATCGCTCTCTGGGTGAAATTTCTCATCTCAGCCGTAAATCATGAGGGGCGTGGATAGAGTGAATAGTCAAGGTCTTTTCCCTAGGGTGGGGGAGTCCAAAACTACAAGGCAAAGATTTTAAAAGGACCTGAGGGGCAACCTTTTCACGCAGAGGGTGGTGCATGGATGGAACAAGTTGCTAGATGAAGTGTTGGAGGCTGGTACAATTACAACATTTAAAAGGCATCTGGCTGGGTGCATGAATAGGCAAGGTTTAGAGGGATATTGGCCAAATGTTGGCAAATAGGACTAGGTCAGATTGGGATATCTGGTCAGTTGGGCGAGTTGGACCGAATGGTCTGTTTCTGTGATTCTGACGCTAAACAGTCTACCGTGTATCTTTAGACTGTGACCCCAGCTTCTGGACTCTTCCCTTTATTGGGGACATCCTGCATTTATCCTGATTAGTCTTTTAGAATTTTATAGGTTTCTATGCAATCGCCTTCATTCTTAAGAACTCCAGTGAATGTAGTTCTAACCGATCCAGTCTCTGTTCATTCGTCAGTCCTGCCATCCCAAGAATCAGACTGGTAAACCTTTGCTCCGCTCCTTCTCTAGCAAGAACATACTTCCTTAAATAAGGAGACTAAAATTGCAAGCAATATTCTAGGTATGGTCTCATCAAGGCCCTGTACAATTGCAGCAAGACACCCCTGCTCCTGTACTTGAATTACTTTGAAACCAATATATCATTTGCCATCTTCACTGACAGCTGCAACTGCATGGTTTCTTTCAGTGGCTGTTGTACAAGTGTGACCTGGTCACGTTACTATAATGGAGAAGCGGCAGTTAAGTGAAAGAAAATGCCTGATATTAACTTTATAAGTAACAATTTATTTATTTAACCCTCATAGTGAACACATTAACAGACCTTGTAACAAACAGGACAGTTTCCCCCTAACTCCTCACTAGTCCCTAACTGAACAAAACTCTACTGGTATGCTATTCCAATAAACACAAGTCCCCCTTACATAACCCAGGTAGTAAGAAAAAAAATTAACACTTAGTCTCTCAAAGTCCATACAGAATGTGTCTTCCGGAATGCTCTGCCTTCTGCATTGTGTTTCAAGTAATAAATGCCTTTCTTCTTATCCAGCTGTCAGGGATGTTTTCTCTGCAAAGTCTCTTACCTGGAAGTGCCGTGATACTTTTTATGGAAGGATGGTGCTTTCTTAGAGCTCAGTGATTTCTTGAGAGCTAGGTGCTTATTTCTCAGATGGCAGTTTGCTCTCACTCCTCTGATTTTTTTCAAAAACCCTCTCCTTGTATATCTTGGATGACCTATCAATTTTCTTGCAATGGCATTGGTCTGCGGTTGTCAAAACCATCAGATTTTAATTCAGAGATAGTAGGAACTGCAGATGCTGGAGAATCTGAGACAACAAGGTGCAGGGCTGGATGAAC